ATTACAACTGTTCTAATTCTAACTTCTACTCTTGACAAGCTTTCTTGTGATCATCTTAACAGTATATATGTATGTAGAAGATTTGCTAAATAACGTTGAACAACATGCAAATATTGACCTTAACAACGACGTTGACAACCCGGGATTAGCAACTGTTTAGTTTAAAACATGTCTTGATTTTTGTGACGAATAAATTCCTCGCTATGGAACATACGAAAAATCCTTCAATATACTCGTGGAAATTCATCGCTTCCGAGCAAAGATACGGCTATAACTCTGTTATATATTAATTTCGAGGGACGCTAAAAAATGCTTAGTCAGCAGGTTTCACACGTCCTTGTTTAAACTTGCCCGCGTGACGTCATTGCATAACATTATGACGTATACTAATGAGTGACGTCACTACGCATCCTCATTTGTGCGGCCCCCTTAATTACCTGCATATATAATGAAGCGCCCCCTTAATTACCTGCATATATAATGTGCGCCCCCCTTGCATAGTAATTACTTGCATATATAATGATGCGGCCCCCTTGCGGCCCCCTGCAAAAGGGGGTTGAACGGTACCTATATTACTACTGTCATTTGCCAATGTTAACTGTTGAGTAACATACACAAACTAATCGAGGAATATACATTACTGTAGCAAAGTGTCAATCATATATCGAAGACCAGTGGCGTAGCCAGCCCGACAATTTAGTCCCGCTATGCAAATTCAAAATTATTATCATTATTCATTTCTTTAGAAATTGATTATTTTCTTTTCACAGTCAATGAACACAAAAATATTTGCATAGCGGGTCTAATTCGTCGGGCTGGCTACGCTCGAAGACCACTGAATAGTAGAGAATGTTTTGAAGGTCATGCGTGAATTATATAATTCAATTCCAATCCTGTGCACAGTTAAATAATGATATACCACACTGTTTAGCCTGCGAACAGGCTCTCAAGCTGAATTGAGAGCCTGCATCGATGACTAATGAATTTGAATATCTGCCCCGTAACGTTCGTTTGTCCAAATATGGAATGTCTATCCTTATATGGTGTTGTTTACAACTTT